AGAGATAGGCAGCCATATATCATGAAATACTTTACGAGGCAATGCGATCGCTTGCTCCTTCAGTCGTCGCAGCATCACTCTGTCAAGCAACTGACGTATCTTGTTCAAGTCCTCTTGCTTGAACATCGTCTCTACATCCATCTCCGCCAACGCCGCAGCCTTTGAACGGCCCCGAGGTGCCTTGGAGCCCCCAGATTTCCCCGCTGCAGACTTTGCATTCTGCGCGAAGGCCTGAATTCATAAATAAATAGATTCATATATTCATGAATAAAAATGCGTGAATTCACGTATTTTTAAGTTTATATATACATGAAATTATTCAAGTTCACAAACTTGTATAAAATTACAAGTTCACAAAATTCACGACTATACAAGTAAACACGGAAGCCTGCAAAAGTTGCTTCCCGCCCTCTTTCTGGTTCGTATTGTGTTCATGGTGCTCTCGCGAACGGTCATTTATACATGTATATATATATATATATATATATATATATATATACATATATATATAAACTTGCACCGCGACGAACATTTGCATCCAACCAAGAACGCACTTCATCTACGTGAACTGGGCAGGGGGTTATGCTCTAACTCTAACTTGAAAAGCTAAGAAACAGGAAAAAATAACTGTTAATAATGAACAATATATATTATATTATTATTATATATATAATAATATAACAAGAATAATGAAAGAGGTAATAACGAAGAATATAGAAAGTAAAGGTGATGACGAACCTGTTCAATAACGAGAGAATCTCTGAATACATCAGGCATGAGAAAGTTGATGAGGGTAAACAATTCCTGCGCGTTGTTCTGTAGTGGCGTGCCAGTCAACAAAAGACGCATATTCCCCTGTACACGATCTAAAGAGTGCCGGATCGCGCCTGAGGCATTCTTTATGCGGTGCGCCTCATCTAAACAAAAGCAACAACCAAGCAGAAAAGAAAAAAAAACAAATGATAAAAAAGAAAAAAAATACAACAAATAAACAAGTAAAACAAACAAATACACCAATACAACGGGGATACCTTATCCTACAAACGGGGCCCTCATCATACAAGAGGGGCCCCTATCACAGCAGGGGGGCCCCTATGATTCAAATGTTGTGGTGCTTTGTGTATGGACCCACCCAAGACAATACATTGCCAGTGCGGTATCTGCTCGACGAAGAATTCCTCTTCGCTCTTCACAGTCTCGTACGTGGTGACGTACAAATCATAAAGACCTTTGGCGGCCACTGAAAACAAAACAAAACAAAATAAACAAAACATACAAAAACACTCATGCAGGTGGACGTCCTTCGCCTCCCCCTGAAGCAACTGGCCGGTCCTACTGCTGTATCAAGCTGGCAGCAACAACAACAAAACAAACAGCCGCAGCAAGCAGACAGCAGCAACAATCAGAGAACAAGCAGCGGCAACGAAAACAAGACAAAAAGCAGAAATAAACGCCCCCATCTCCCCTTAAGCAACCCTCTTGCTGCACAAAGCGACGTGGCAGCGACAGAAACCACAACCGCAACCAGTTGCAGCAGCAGCAGCAACACTGCCAGCAGCAGCAGCAGCAGGAAGAGCCGCAGAGAACTTACATCTGTCTTGCATGGCGTGTTGTCTCTCGTTTCTCGATCCACAGATTTTGATATGTGTGAGGGATGGGGTAAAGCGGTGAATTTCATGAAGCCAATTGCCAACCGTAGAAAGAGGAACAACAATAAGGTGGGGGCCATCGACTTTCATGGCGCTCAGATAAGAAAGAAAACACAAAGTTTGAATCGTCTTGCCCAGCCCTATACACACAAAAAAAAACAAAATACACAAATAAATACAACATAATAAACACAAAATACAGATATTTCAATAAAAAACAATAAACACAAAATATCTACTGAACAAACAAACACAAATACGCAAAAAAGAAATACTAACACGCCCTCCTCCATCTTATGCCGCCGCCCGTCTCAACTACAAGACCCAAATGCATACACTATACATATAAATATAAATATAAATATATATATATATATATATATATATATATATCAACTACAAGACCCAGATGCATACACTATACATATAAATATATATAAATATATATATATATATATATAAATATATATATATATATATACCCATTTCATCAGCTAAGATAGCGCCTCCAGTTAAGAAAGAGCGAAGAAGCCAATCTACGCCTTCTTCTTGATGGGGTTTCAGAGTGATTCCCTCTCGCAGGGGTAACCCTTCTATGGGGCGGCCGGATGCATGACGACAAGAACGATAAGCTCTCCGTGTGAATTTCTCTGCTTCTTCTGCTGCTTCATCCTCCAGCTGCTCTAATACATCCGCTAACGAACGCTCTACACACAAACGAGAACCCACTGCTGCTGCTGCTGCACCACGACCGCCACGACGCGAGCTGCTGGTGCCCGCTATGTTGGCTGTAGGTAAGGAAACACACACACAGAACGATGAAAATCATCAATAAAACATGATAAATATACACCAATAAATATTTATATACTTGTATGTTTACAAGAAATACATATTCAAACAAATGCACACATGAAACCATACGCGTCTATGTACATATATACATATACACCTATAAACATATAAAAACACACAAACAGATAAACACATACCCATAAAGAGATAAACAGATAAAAGATAGACATAAACACACAAACCTCAATACTTCTTGCTGGTCCTCACATGAAGAAAACCAGCAACTACGTGAGAAACGCAAACAGAGAGAAACAAAACAGCTACCTACAACGAAAAACAGAGAAACTCTAAACACCACCAACAGAAACACCAACAAGAACAACACGAGCAAGAACAGGAAGAGAACACCACCGCCAGCACCACCACCAGCACCACCACCCCCAGCAGCAGAAACAACCACAGCAACAGCAACAGCAGCAACAGCAGCAACAGCAGCAGCAACAGCAACAGCAGCAGGATAAGAGAAGCACGAGGAGTATACCTTTGAGTGTTCTCGCGAGAGCCTGTAATATTTTTGGGTTAACGAATGGTCCTAGATCTTTTTGGTGTACAACAAGAAATCTATTTCTGTATCTCATGACTTTGGTTCTGTATTTTTCATAATTTTTAGCTCTTTCTTTTCTTTTTGTTTCTATTTCATGTCTCGTCCATCTCTTATGCATTTGGTTCGCAAGAGGGTCAAAACCCTTACATACCGGGCACTCCCATTCATCACCAATAGCGTTCCAGTCTACATCTACTAGACAAGAAGGATGAAAAGAATTAACACAAAAATCACAACCAAGAAGTTTACCTGGTCTCTGACATACATAACAAGTGCTGCTGTTTACTGTATCACCGCTACGCGGCACCGCAGCACCCCGACCCAGTCTACGTATTTCATCTGTGTTGAAAGCGGTGGGGTTGCAGTCAGGACAAAACCACTTCTCTTCGTCGGGTTCTATCGTTAACTTTAAACAAGACATATGGTATGAGTGTGGGCACCCGTCACACATTATCAAACGACCACCAGAGTCGTCGTCGATCTCCGCCTGTATACACACACCATATATATATATATATATATATATATATATATATATATATATATATATATATATATATATA